TGTTATAATTTGTAGTCATTCTAGAACAAAAAAAAGCATAATTTATATTTTTTTATTGAGATTACGAAGTCAGTCAAATCGAACCAACCCATACAGAAATACAGTAGCGAAAATAACAAATAAAATATAAAGTTTTTACTACAAAAAATTTGATATTTATCTGGAGATTATAAAGATTTTGCATGTGAATTTGAAAATGTTTTAATGCATTAAAGTATTTTTAATCTTAAAATCAAAATTGCTTTGCATGTTGGATAGTCAACATTCTGAAAGAAAAAGGTTTAAAAGAAAATATTTAATCTAAAAATCTAATATTTTGTGTATGAAAACCTTGTAATGTTTAGCAATAAACTGCAAAATTTTGTAAAAATGTGCATACATGATAAAAAATCATAGTATAATTAGATTCATGCATACTTTTGTGGTTAAAAGATGGGTGGATTCCACCCAGCCCATAATGTTAACCTCCTGTCAGTTTACTTAGAATATGCAGTTTTATACTAAATTAGGTTTATGTTTGTTTGCCCTATTGCTATGGTGTTGAGCAGGTAGTAAATAGTAGGCTTATTCTGTAGTGTCAAGCAGATACATTAGACAGTAAGTTAGAAGACCTATTCATGGGCTATTAATAAATTGACATCTGGGAAGACAATAAAATGGAACAACAGTGTTGGGCCTGATTAAGCAAAGTACCTAACTTCCCTGTCTTAAAAAATATTACCTTAAAAGATAAGAAATATCATCCTTAGTTAAATCTTTGTAGCTGTTGTTCTCCATTAGAATACAGTCTTGGCCAAAATGTTTGCATTCTGTTCTATATTGATGCTATTGTCTACATGCATAGAGTAGTTAATTGAGTAAATGCCCGAGTAGTAATAGAGAAGGTAGCATATGAATGGACAGACTTGTACAAGTTGTTATTTTGGTCTGTACTTGGTATAGAGTTGTACCTCGTCACGTGCCAGAAGTTATAGGGTATCAAATTGTTTGACTGTTCAGAAATGATATGAACAGACAGACAGTCCCAGAACAGTAGGATACCCCCTGTGTACTGTATTCAGAATTCTTAAACATCATCTGACTATAAAAAATGTTGTTCCAGGAAAGTCTACTAGTAGATGCCAAAAAATTACTGCTGAGATGACTGTACTTTGATCATGTTAACACATCAAGGTCAAAAGAAGTCTTGCAACACCTTACAACAGGAATGGCATGAACACATTCGTTCCAGGGTATCCAGAAGAACAGTGAATAGAAGGCTGACCAAACAAGGTTATTTTGCAAGAAGGACTATCTTCAAAACAATATTAACCAGAATTTACTGCCATCATTATGTTACTTGGGCAAGATAGCATGCTAACTTACAGTTAGGACACTGGCAACATGTAATATTTTCAGATTTGGTAAGATTTGTGTTTGTCTGGGAAACAGATGAAGGAAGACTTGTCTTTCCCACAGAAAACACAGGAGTTGGTCCAGTACATGTTTGGGCAGTTATTCATCGTGGTGGAAAAACTGCTCTTCATATCCCCCTAGGGAAACATTAATGGTGCCTTCTACAGGCATCCCATGGAGGTGATATTTCTGTCATATAATAGAGCAAGATTTAGCAATAACTTTATGTTCCAGGATGACAATGCCACTACCCACAGTGCACGTATTGTACAGGATTATTTTGACCAGGAGAATATTACAAGACTGACATGACCAGCAAAGTTCTCCAGATTGTAATCCCATTGAGAACTGTTGGGCAGAACTGAGCCAGAAAATTGCTAACCAGGATTCTGAAAGTGGAGGGAGGATAGCATCTGTAGTGTGTAACCATAACTTTTTCTGTGAAACATAGATTTTCAGGTGCTTGCTTTATTTGGGCATTTAAGTTTGTAATAATTCAATAATATAATGGCTGTTAATAAGCCTTTATGTTATTAATAAAATAAAATTAACTCAGAATTTAGACTTTTTTTTTTTGAAAATCATTTTCCTGCTGCTGAAATAAGCTTGTAAAATATTTGGAGATGATGTGGTGTGTGTTGTTACTCTAGACGTATGTAAGCATTTTTGGTGCAGGTATATGAGTCTGAAGGGCTATACTTAGTTTGAATTGTTGCTTTTGTTTTAGATTGGAGCAGTGATCCTCTTACTTGCCAACATTTGTTTATTTAATTTAGCTCTCATACAGGTTAATCATATTTTCATGCATGAAAAGCAAGTTACAATTAATGAAAAATTCAGCATCTATTTAAACTTGGCTGATCCCATAAAATATCTTACCTCCTCTCACAAAACATTTCTTGATAGTACTGCCTTCTGTTGGCACAAATATTTCACTTGCCACTAGCTTTGCAACTCCCGCTTCTTTCTGCATATCTACATGTAAATGATCATGCAGCAATTTTCCACCTAAAGGAGTGCAACACTACTCCTATTGTAACTAGTGCTCTCTCTAATAATGCGCCTGTTAATCACTTCTTGATTGCCAATTTCACTGTTAAGACACGTTTGTTTCTATAGGAGTGCAACACTACTCCTATTGTAACTAGTGCTCTCTCTAATAATGCACCTGTTAATCACTTCTTGATTGGCAATCTCACTGTTAAGACATGTTTGTTTCTTCAGTGCAGTTTTTTCTAGATCTTTTCTTTTTTTCTGATTACTTTGTTTTCTTTAGTTTGAGTTTTGGAGGTGTTGAGGAAATCCTTCTTGTTCAGGGTTTTATTCTCTTCTATTCATTGTTCCCAAAAAAATGAGAGACTGGTGCCCAGTGATTGATTTGTCACCTCTGAATTGCTTCCTATTCATTCCTAAGTTCACCATGGAATCATACTTAACTCTCTGTTGGGTTTTCACTCTTGGTCTGTGGATGATGAAGGGTGATGTGTTAGATGCTCATCTGCATATTACCATCTCTCCAGCATTCTGACATTTCTATTGATTTGTTCATCACATGCATGTTTTTCAGTTTTGATATGTTCTGTTTGGCCTAGCCTGGGTCCCCTAGGTGTTTTTCCAATTTGTTCAGTCATTCTCTCAACTGCTTTATTCCCAGGGCCTTCGTTTCCACCGTTGCATGAACGACTAGCTACTGTTGGCATCCTTGCAGGCCAACTCTGCCCTCCATACTTGGTTTCTTCTGCCTGGGATGGTTAGTTGGTTCATCAAGGTGGAGAAGACATTCCTCACACCTACCCAGTTTCTGGTTTATCTGGGTGTGGTTTTCAATTCATTTTACAGTGAGGCACAGCCTTCTCCACTTTGCTTGCAAGATATGGAAGGGCTAGTTTGCAAGGTCTCCTCCTCAACTTCTGCTTCTGCACAAGCAAGTTTCTATCTCTTTTGGGGATGTGAGCCTCTCTTGAGAAGCTCATTCCCCTTTGTTGTGCCTACATATGCCATCTACAGTGGGCTTTATTTGACCAATGGAGCTTTGTTTAAGATCCCTTGGAGGCTCCTCTTACCCTTCCCTCTCCATTACTTACAGACTTTGCCTGGTGAATGGATCAGACCAATACTAACGTGGGGGTTCCCCTTCTGTACTTTGTTCAGATTGACACTTTTTTACCAATGCTTCCACTTCCAGTTTGGGATGTAATGCTATTGGCTTAAGCTTACTGAAGTGATTGAACAGTGAAAAACTTTTTTTCAACACTGTACATTCTTTAGCATTTGATGCTTATTTATGTAATTGTCAGTAACCCCTGAAGAATGAATGAAAATGTAAAGTTGTATTTCAAAATATTTACCCTGTTGCCTCAAATAAATACTACTTTTCTCAACCTTGTTAAATTAGGCATGGCATAGCAATTAGTATGCTTGAACTGAGAATTTGAGGGTTCATAGTTCTTGTTCCAGTTCCACAAAAGTGTATTCTGTACTTTGGGGCCATGGGTGAGCTATAACAGTGACAATCAAATCCCACTATTCAGTCAGATTAGTCTAAGAGTTGATGGTGGGCAGTGCTAAAATTGAGGATGAAAGGAGGAGAATGCCTTTCTCTATTAGCAGAAAGGAAAAAATACTTCCTTGTAAACAGGAGGAAGCAACTGAAACTCTGACTGCCAAGTGTCTGATTCTGAGAACATGCACCTGTGAGTACATTTCAGCAGTTACCTTTTTTAACTTTGTACAACTCGATTGCTGGAGGTGGGTGATGTTAACTAAGTTTTTCTGTCTAGTTTTTCAGTTCAAAATTAGGGACAGCCATATATAGATAGTACTTACATAGCTTTGCAAAAAATTCTACCAAAGAAAATAAACTCAACCTTGTGTTCATCACCTTAAGGATAGTAAAATAAATTGTTTTTTGACAACTGTGTTTCAACAGAACATTATTCCACTGAATATGTATATTTTATGTAGTTTGGAAGAATAAGTTACTTAAAAATCTATATCCTGAGAGTAAATGGCTAGATTATTTAGTGTTTTACTATTTTTTTGTCTTAGCTTGTACTACATGGTGGTAGGGGTCAATTATATAAGTATAGTTAAAAGAATTCTGACTTTATCAGGCTTTCTCTGTGCTCTTGTGTTCAATTTCACCATATTTTCATTCTGTTTTAAATAGATCAGTGCTCTTAATTAAAATCCTGTAATAATTTTGTAATTCACATGATACAATATTTACAATAACTGGAGCATGTAACTTTTCCTCATGAGTTATAATAAAATCTGATTTACAGAAATTACACTGTGAAGAAATGCTCAAATATTGTGACTTCATTCAACTTGCCTGAAATGCCTGTAGAAGAATGTGTTTGAGTTATGGAATAATAATATTAAAAATGGGAACTTGATTATTAAACCTAGTCTTGGTTTTGATACTGTATTTCCTGGTGATATGGTGTGTTTTTAGTTTAAACATTTGTTTAATTAAGTAGGTACATGAACATTTTACATTAAATGTTACTTTGGTTGTTTTGATAGAGGAAAAATTGACCTTCATGTGCTTTTTGGACGTATAATTATTATCTGATGTTAATGTTTAATGATGAAATTTATAGGTACTTTTGTGCGAATGTGAATCTTGGTTAAGAAATGAACAACACTCTGATAGATAGAAATGAATTGAGGGACAAAATTCATGAATATTTAAGAGAGGCAAGTTGAATTTGTTGACTTGTAATACTAGTATGTTTTAAACCTTTATTAAATTCTGAACTAAATAACTCTTGTTTTAATGACATTTTATATTGCTTATTGCTGTAATATGATTTCTTTACATCAAATGTAATAAATTTATTTTATATTCTAAAATAGATAATCGTATACATAATTTTTTTTTTCAGCAGTGATAAAAGTATAAATCACAGTTAACTGAATTTATGTGGTAAAAAATTTATAGTGTAAAACTATTTTACAATTATGATTCCGTCAACTATAGTCACAAGCTTTCTGTGTGTTACTATTTATGTACAAGTAATTTTGCACGTACTTTTGTATGTATTACTATTTACTGGTAATTTTGCATGTACCTTTGTATGTATGTGTACACAGAAAGATTTAAAAACTCGAATCAAGTCTGCTTTGTCCAGTAAGGAGAATAAAATAAGACAGAAGATATCTTGCTCAAAACTAGCAGCTGAAGAAGACAGTTTATTGAAAATATTGCACCAACAAAGAATTGTAGATGAATTAGTGAGTCATCTAGTTTTCTCTGATATTGCAAAAAAAGCAGAAACCACTCATGAGGATTTTAAAGAACTTCAACAAAATGAGAAAACAGGTACATAGAAACCAGAGTGAATAGATTATTGCCATCATCAGAGTTCCCACACATCCTAAAAAAGTCATAAAAAATGGAGAAAACATAAATGTTTTGGAAACAGTTGTGGAAAACTGTGACTTTATGAAATGCATTATTTCATGTAATAAAATTTAATTAATTTGTTGGATAACTAAATGTGAGGAGTGATGCAAGGCCATAAAGTGTCGTGAGAAATGGCTGAAATGTCCTGGAAAATTATTTTTAACCAAGGGTGGGAACTCTGATAATATATGTATGTTGGTAGGAGGAATTTTAAAACTATGTATATTATTTTCTTAGTGTAGTAAAAAATTGAAATAAATAAATTATCCATCTGTTAAGTGGCTGGTATGTGAGAGAGGAATAAAGCTGGTTTGTCTATTCAGATTGTAAACAAATAATTACAGTTAGTGGCCCAAGATTTACAAGCTCATCCAACTTTTAGGAATGTTTATAGTAAGAGTTAGAATGAAGAGAATGTGATGTTGTGATATAAGTAAAACATTTATTAGACTTGTTACAATAAAATACAATTGGGTTCAGTATCCTTTAATCCATTCTAATTGTTATACTCATTTAACTTCAGTAATTGTATCTTTTTACATCCATTTATATCAGTAATATTTAAAACATTCATTTCTTTCCCAGTTAATTAACATTTTCTCCTTTATTATCATACGTAACAATTAAACACTTGTTGAGCATAAAGATACTAAGAGTTCTGTCATTATTATGAATGAGGAAGAGTTGAGATGCTGATTTTCTTCTTGTTTGTACTGACTGTGGATCTCATAATTCACTCTTACTATGGTATGTTGGCACCAGTTTACCAAAGCAATGGGGCAATTTTCATTCATCACTCATGCACACTGACCTTCTTGAAACAATGCTGAAATACACATCCTGTGAGTTATTTGTTAATTATGTTTTTAGTTTAATTGGCACCAGCAATGACTGATTGCTAACATTAATCAACCTTTTAAACTGCTGAAAGTTTATCTTAATAGACACTTCACACTTGGAAGGATAAATGGGGTACACTAAACTTGTCATCCTTGCTCTTTATGGCTGTCATGACTTTGTGGTAGTGACATTATCACAACTTGTTTGATAGCTGTTTTCAGTGGAAACTCCACCCCAGTTCCAATTAATTACACAACTACATATTGATAAAAAAACTTGTTATTCACATGGAATAAAAACTAAATACTTCATTTATCTGGCTTTATTATATTGTTGTTCATTTTAACATTGTGTAGAGCAACAGTATTATAACAAAGCCAGCAGATAAGGGTGGGACTAATACTATTCTTAACAAAGATGACTATATCTCAGAAGCTAACCTGCAACTAGAGGACACTAATTTCTACAAGAAATTTTCATATGATTCTACAACTCAGTTGATTAAGATTAAAGTTCTCCAAAACAATAAAATTAACAAAGAAACTTTTCAGTATTTGATACACAGACAAGCTTCCCCTGGTAGATTTTATCTCTTACCAAAAATACACAAACCAAACAATCTTGGCCGACCCATAATTTCTAACATAAACATATCTACTGAAAAGCTGTCCACTTTTTGTTGACCAACACATAAAATGTATTCCCTGTATCTTCCCTTCTTACATAAAGGATACTACTCACTTTCATAATACCATATAAGATATTAATACTAACAGACAGTTACCACCTAACAGTCTTCTTTGCACAATAGGTGTTTCTTCCCTCTACACAAATATTCCACATGATGAAGGACTAGAAACTCTAAAGTCTGCATTAAACCTTTCTAACCTTTCAGAATCTCAAACAGTAACTGATCTTGCCAGACTTGTTTTAACTCTGAACAACTTGAAATTCAATAATAAACATTATCTTCAGGTTAATGGCACTACAATGGGTACCAAAATGGCTCCCAATTATGCCAACATTATTATGGGTCATATTGAAAGCCAGCTTTTACAACTAAGCCATGTAAAACCTCATACATGGAAATGTTAAATAGATGACATATTTTTCTTTTGGACAGCAGGTATCCAACCACTTAACCCTATCCAAACAGACATCCTTTACTGTGTATGTAATTAAATTTTAGTGACTTACATTCAAAAGTTTATCAATCTACAAATTAGTAGAGCATAAAATTGTAGCTAATAATCCATATTATAATAGCATATAAGTTTTAAGTTCTTAAATATTTTAAAAAATCCCTAATTTCCCCTAGTGTGACACATTTTTCTAGGCATCTCTTCTCTAATTTGTCCACCACCCCTCCAATAAGTATGATATTCAATGTAAATTACTCACTATAAAATTGGCATTGTTCAGACAAACCATAATTTTTATAGCCTTCAATTTTGTTTGGTTATAGAGCTATCAAATAGAAAATCAGACCCCCTTTTGCCATGCCCATCTGTCACATCCTCTTATTCAGGACTTGTTAATAGTTCTCTCTTACATTTAATTCTGTATTATCTATAACCAATAGAAAGCTAATGTTTTCATCAATCAAATGATGAATTATATTACATTGTTTTCTGAACAGAAAATTTTCAGTTTCTCTTTTAGTACAAGCTTCATTCCCATGAGAAAGATAACGACTAGCTTGGATGAATTTGTAACGGCCCTTGTCACATAGTTAGAAAGCCAGTAAAATTTTGATAGTTAGAGGAAATTGTCTGCTTTTTGTATATTATTATTCTATGTTCTTTGGTGCATTATTTAGTTAATTAAAAATTAGTACCATTACTATAAAAAAAAGTAGGGTTAAGTGTTGTCAACAGCAAAAAAAAAAAGAAGACATGGGTAAGTACCTTATTTCTTTTTTTCATGTTGATGGATCTCTTTAGATTAGCTAAGGTTAGATTAGGTAAAATAAATAATAATATAATAAAAATATTTCACGAGACATGCATACGAGCAGCTTGGAGTAGTTCGTGGGTAATGTAATTTGATAGCATAATATGAGCTGCACATTCCCCAACTGATTTACAACTTATAATGGTGCAAATAGTAGTTAGACAAGGTTCAAAGGGTAATAAAACAATAAAATTTAATTATAAGTAGATGTATACTGTTACAAGCTACTTAGGATAAATGAATGTAGTTTCATGTTACATTTGAAGTCATTGTAGGAGGAAAAATAGGGTAATTTAGAATTATTTCGATATTATTGTGGTGGTTATGAGGTCAATCAAATTGACCAACCTTTTATGGAGTTAGGGTAGAGAAAATAACAGATAAAATATAAAGTTTTACTGAAAACAAACATTTGAAATGTATTTATGAGGTTTTAGAGATTACTCAAATGAAATTTGAAATTTTTGAGATAAAGAAAATTGTTTTCATTCTCTACATGAAAATCACTTTGTACATTAACTATTCAAAACAAATATACTTGATATACTCATGGACAAATCATTTTTTAGTTTATTAAAAATACTTCATGTATACTTGTATGCAAACTCCTTTCACAAAACAGTCAAGTTTACCTTTGATTACTCACCTACCCAAATTAACTTTCTTGATGTCACTGTCTTTATAAATGATGGAATTTTACACACTGACGTGTACAAAAAAACTACAGACAGGCCACAATACCTTCACTATAAAAGCTGTCACCCCACTCACACTAAAAGGAACATTACCTACAATCAAGCTCTTAGAATAAAGAAAATATGCTCAGATGAAACAGACTACATAAAACACACCAAGGATCTAAAACCATGTTACAAACAGGATATAAAGATACCAAAATGGACAGAAAGATCGAAAAGACTAACAACACTCAGTGGACAAACATCCTAAAACAGAGCAATACTAAAGTTTCAAGTATAATTCCTCTTATTATTACCTATTACTTTAAACTTGGAAACGTTTCACGAATTCTGAAAAAAATTTTCATCTCCTACAATTTAACGATTGCCTCAAACAGATATTTCCTGAAGTTCTCATTGTCTCCTTCTGAAAAAACAAAACTCTAAAAGATATCCTTGTTCACATGAAAGTGAATTACATCCCACCAAAAAATGGTTGTCATCTATACAATAAAGTTCATTGTCAAACCTGCAAGTTCATAAAAACTACGAACTTATTTTCTGACAAGCACAACTAAAGAAACTTTAAAATTTCCAAAGAAATCACTTGTGGAACACACAACTACATTTACCATATACAGTGTGAAAAAATGCATCACCAATATGTAGGACATACACAAAGAACTCTTAGAGAATGCTTCAACAACCACAAGTCCTCTATTAACACTGAAAAAGATCTCCCTTTTGCTCAAGACTTTAAATCAACTTGGTCATTCCATTAATGTTACTTTCATCAGCATTGAAACAGGATTCAAAACTAAAGCTGATAGAGAGATAAATGAAGCTTATGGGATCACAAATCTAAACACTGTTCAACCTTTTGGAATCAATCTAGATCCTTGAATCAGTGATATCCAGTCATTGGTTTCATCCCTGTCAGAAAAATATTTCTTATTCTTTGTTTATTTCTTTCATATAGTGTGACCCCTAATTTTTCTAAAACTTACTATTTGTTTAAAATAATTTTCCATACCTGTTTGTGTAAATTAATTAGCTTTACATTCCTTTTTTTTTTCATCACCTTTATTTTACTTAAACACTTAAGTACAGTTGTATTTCTTTCTATTTTTTTTTTAACTATTTTCTAAAGCAAAATATCCCTAACACTTTTTTACATAACGATCTTGTTGCTGGCCGCATTGTACTGGAAATGAAAGACAACAGTACATGGAAAAATATACTAAACATTTCCTGGAAGACCACATGTCCATCATGATGTCACTCATCTCCCTTTGTATATCACTCATTTGATTACACCTCAATACACAGAAGAAGAAAAGTCCCCCTATCAAAAGTGCTCAGGTTATAGGGTTTTTATTGATACTCTCATAAATGTTTTTTTTTTGTTTCTGGATAAAACTTTGTCGCTGCTCTCAACGAAGCCTA